TTTTTAACAGAGTCTTGCTCTGTCGCTAGGCTGGAGTGCAGTGGTGCAATCTCAGCTCACTGAAACCTCCGCCTCCGAGGTTCAATCTGTTCGCCTGCCTCAGCCTCCTGAGTAGCTGGACTACAGGCGCATGCCACCATGCCGAGCTAATTTTTGCATCTTTAGCAGAGACGAGGTTTTACCATGTTGGCCAGGATGGTCTTGATCTCTTGACCTCATGATCTACTCCCCTCAGCCTCCCAAAATGCTGAGCCACTGTGCCCGGCCAGCAGTTTTATTTCTGCACTGCAAAGCAACTGGTATATTGACTAATCTATCTTTTGTGGGGTTGACTAGTATAGATATATCTTTCAACAGTTTGCTCATATCTGATTGAACTGGGAAAGCTTTTCTCAGTGACCCTTAAATCATACCACATAGATATTATTGAAACACAAATAACACTCTAGTGAGGGATAAAGTGACTTTAGGTCTTTATTTTACACACACACACACACACACACACACACACATACTTATATATTCTAAAAAGGTATTTGTATTATAACCAAATCTATGATTGAATAAGTGGCTTTATGAAAGAGTAGTGGGATATTGTGTTACATTCAGAACGTGGTGCAAAAAACTATTTTAATCCTTAGCATATAATACTAAGAATCAACAGGTTTGGTTGAAGTAGCAAGTAATGACAAAAGGTGGATAGTGCTTTCACAAAAATAATTCTTAAATACTACTCTTAAATATTTTATTCCTTTCAGAGTTCACATTGAGGTGTGCATAAGTATTATAGGGCTAGTGGCAACTGTAATTCAGAGCGTTGGATCCTACTGACAGGTCCTAAGAGTAGGATGAGATTGCTGAGACTTAAGAGTGATGTCCCTGACCTAGAAATATAGTCTAGGGAGTGGAAGGTAGCTAGCCCTACTGTCTCCCCATGCAATCAGTTTTGTTATGGGTTTTAGCCTCCTGGAATGAATGGAATTTAAACAAAATCCTTTTGATGGTGGTTTCTATTTTCAAGTTGCTTTCAAATTTTATATTTATCATTTTAAGAGATTTAGAAAATATTACTATCAGCTCATTACTGCATTTGATACACAAATGAACTGAGAAATACTAACGGCTGTTAACTTGCTAGAGAACACGCAGTTGTTTACATGTCAAAGGAAGGGTGGACTCCCAGTTATCCCAGTTACCCAGTTTCTCTCCCACTGAAATCCATGCAGCAGGATAGTTTAGAGCAGCCACTGTTAGGTGTTAAGAACATGAGAATAACAAAATGGACCAAAGTAGAGGTTCATGCAGGGCAATGTCTTTTAGGAGATTACGATGGTTCTCTTCATAGTATTGAATTCACAAGGTTGGGTATGTACCTTAAGAATCAGTGCCTTCCCTTTATTATCCTTTATTATTGACCAATTATACTGAAAACACAGATTCATAATTTTCTGCACTGTGGAAGAGTCTTGCTTTTGTGCCAGATAAATAGTTTCTAATGCATCAAAATTTCATTAAGGAAAGGTAGTGAAAAATGAGAATTGATGATTGTGGGTTAGGAATACACTAACATGCTAGATTAAGTCTAAAAGCAAATTGAAAACTTTTCTTAACTTACCATTATCTTTGTGCTCACTGGCTCCCAAACTGACTTATTTTTTTCTGAGGAACCCTGATTCGCTGGTGTAGTCAATACTTAGGAGAACTGGGGAACAGTTTTTTGTCATGGATGAATGTAAATATAGTACTTGAGGTTGTGTATGATGTACAAACCGATGACTTTAGTTCTAATTAAGCCATTAACAGTAAAACAACAACAGAAAACATTTTTTGACTAAGACTTCTTGCAATAAATTTAATATTGTCTAGAAACAAATTTTTCTAATATATTTTAAATGTAATGCAGTCCTTTGTATTTTATAATGCATTGTAAAAATACAAATACTTTTTTATTTAAAATAGTGTACAACCTAGTTGATTTAGTTACAGTTTCTTTTTAAATAATCATTTGTTAGACATATGGTATCATAGCTTCTCTCTAGGTTTCAAAATAATCAGAATACTGGAAGGCAGAACAACTGAATTCAGTAGGTGGAGCTCACCAAGCCATTTGTCTACTCTTGAAAACAGCTTTTTTGCCACTAAGTAGAAAAATGCTCCTGGCTAAAGATTTTATTAAAATGTATGAATTGTTGGCTCTGTGTAAACGTAGTCTATGCCAGGTGTGTCTAACACACTAACTAGATCATGCAGTTTTTTTTATACTCATTTATAGTTGAGAGAGCTTTATTTTTACCATCTCTGGCCAGAACTGGCCAATTTCTAGTTGTATGATGTATTTCAAGAAAACTTTTTAGCCTCTCCAAGTTTAGTTTCTCATTCATAACAGGGACAGTAACACTTACCTTGTCTAAATTATAGGATGTTGAAAGGATCAGGTGCGATAATAAATGTGAAACTACCTTGTGAAAATTTTACTCTCCACTGGTTTACCTTCAGTAGTCACTATATATTTATTTTCCATTTTGAAAGAAACTGCCACTACATTAGAGAAACTCCACTGAACTCTTAAAATGGAATTTGAAAATATGTCTTATATTTCTGGCTTAATTGCAAAGGCACTGAAGGCTTGTGGAGTGTCTCCTCTGTATTTTGCCACATTGAGCCCTAGCAGAAGCACCGAGCAATATTTGTTGACAGACTGATCATATTATTAATCTCTGGCTAAGATATAAACCAGAAAAAATTCATACTAGCACCCAAACTTAAAGCAGGCAAGGCAGATAACTTATCCCCAAACTCCTGGGAATTTGCTAAAATTTACCATTAGCAACATTTTATTAAATACTGTTCTGGTCCTAGTACTGAATAGAGTCTCCTTACCTGCTAACTTCAGGGTCCACAGTTTACTGTCCTTTTGCGTTTGCTCTCAGAAGCCTGCTCCAAGTCTTCAGTAAATTCAGTCTAGAAGTCCTTGCAGAGCTAATCCTCGTTGGTGAGCTGCATAGAATCTGGATACTTTGTAAGGTCATAAAAGCACAGTCCATTCACAGAGTGCCTGCTCTTTAGGCAAACTTCTTTTCAAAGATGAGGTGCTGCTATTTTTAAGAGGGGAAGGGCAGGGCACATTTGCTAACCAATATATAGAGATTCTTCTTCCTCTTTCAGATTAGGCTTCAAACTGTTAAAGCACTCCCGGAGTCTGACTTCTCTGGTGAAAGTGGGGGAGGGGAAGGGACAGAGAGGAAGGACGAATAGAAACTGGAGATTTGCAAGTTGCGTGTATGTTTAGTAAACTTTTCTTCCTAGCTCCAGCAATACAATTCTCAGGAAATTATTCAGCTGCTCTACCATGGGAAGCAGGGAGGAGTGTTCTCTCTTCAGCTTAGTTCTGTCTGATTTCAATGATTGTGAGGTCATTAGACTATTTGTAGGTGGGGAAAGTTAATCCTGCCAGTATATGCTAATATAACTGGCATTATGTGAAACTTGATCTTAAGGAACATAAATTTCCATCTCTCTTTCTCTGTCTCTCTCTCCTTAATGACACTTGTGGCTCTATCCACATTCTAAAAAGCCTTTTCCTTTCTGGTTCCTTTTTGAGTTTTGTTTCCTGAAATCCTCATAACAATAAATTGCCTCCATTGGGTTAAAATGGTTTTTTCTTTTTTTGTGCCAGTGAAGATCATCTGGAATGATGGAGCTTACTGTCAGTGGTTCCGTGTTTGGAATTTGGAGGATCAGGCAAGTGCTCTCGACTTTCGGCTAGGCTCTGAGGCGTTAGAGCTGTGGGGTGCTCAGTCTGGCTTCTGGAGAATAGGGACATAGCAGTGTGGTATGTGCTGAATGAAGCCTGGGGCAGCACTTTGATGTTACAAACCAAATTGATAAGACTGTGATGTGAATTTGGTACTTCAATTATCTTGAATTATATTAAGAAGATTCTGTATGGAGATGGACATAAATATGTTGATTTTAACACTTTGTAAACATGCCCCGTAACTAATAACTAGTTTTATGTACTTATAAAATATGGGCCCAGCAGTAGCCTTCTGGCTTGCTACCTGCTGTAGGAACAAAGTCATTTACTCAAACTTTGCATCTTTAGGTACAAGAATTACCTCACAACCAACCTGGGGCAATTGCTCTAAGACTCCTTGAATCTTTTTCTCCTTTCACAGAGTTCTGGATTGTGGTGGTGATGGTGATGGTTGGAGGAAAAGGCTATCCAACCACATTAGAAGGGATGATAACATTTGGATTCAGGACCAGCCTTTCTAATCCTCTCCTAGGGAGTCTTACTAACTAAACTGACATTCAAACTAGTATTTCTTCGACTGAGTTTGGATCCCCAAAGATCTATAGGAAAGTTCATCAGTGAGACAAAATGTGAATTATTACTTCTCCTCCAGTCTGAAATGGTATGGCCATTTTGAGCTACAGTGGAAGGGCAATTCATACCTAGGAAATGAAGAAAAGAGAAAGAGGCTATATCCTTGAGCTTCAAGTTGGCACCAAAATAGCTGTGGCAGAGAGGGTGTTACTTGTGGTTTTTCTTTATGCTCCCCTGCTTGTTTCTTTTATTAGCTAATTCTCTGTTCCAGAGGGATGGGAAAAACAGTGATCCACCCATCCCCAAATGGGTCTTTGCCTTGTACAACTTCATCAATTTATACCACATTTGCTATAAATGACGTCAGACTTCTTGTCTCCTTTTTTCATCTCTTTATCTTTTCTTATCCATCCATCTTCATTACTTATCTACTCTCACATTCTCTTTCACTTTAGGAAGGGTTGAAGTGCCCAGAATGATACCTCTCTGCTGCTGCCTCTCTCCTCTCACTTATTTTCCTAGACTCCTTTACTTTCTTATTGAGGTAGGGAAGACCAAATAGAGAATGGTGAGGGAGATGGGGGATAACATGTAGTTGGATGGGAGATCTGTCCTAATGAAGTAAGACTTTGGTAGAAGGTTAAATAATTTTCAGTCACAACAGCATTCAGATGTGAGTGACAGGATTCATATCTTTTATGAATCTAGAGCTGAAAGAGGTATGAAAAATCATCATCTGGTTCAGACTTTATATTAAATTGAATTCTTGAGGGTATGACATGTCTGATTTATTATTGTGTCCTCCGCTATTGGCTCATTGCCTTGTTTGGTTTGTTGAATAAATAAATCTAGTCCAACTCTTTCATATTATAAATGAGAAAACAGGCTAGAAAGAGGCTCTCTCAAGATGCCTTTATTTTACCACAAAATAAAAAAAGAATCATTTTTCTTTCTCCAGGACTGAATTTTTTTTCACAGCCAATACTAATGGGCACTTTGGAAGGGTAGATAAAGGGCATGAATATAGTCAAAGCCCAGCTGTATACATACATATATACTTGTTAAATTAAGTTTAGCCTAAAGCTGTCTCCTGGAAATATATTAAGTTTAGCCTAAAGGCTAAACTGTATGAAGTGAATTATAATGTAACTAGAAGTATAAACAGACTATAACCTACTCTTGTGCCAATCATCAAGGTTTGACTAAACAAAGGTGACCACCTGTTCCAACCATGTTCAGATAAGGCAAATGCCAAGCTATAACCAATCCAGCTATTTCTGTATCTCACTTTGACTTGCTGTATGTCACTTTCTTTTTTCTGTCTATAAATCTTCAACCATACCTCAGTGCTGGAGCCTCTCTGAACCTTTTCTGGTTTGGAGACTGCCTGATTCACAAATTGTTTGCTCAATTAAACTCTGTTAATTTTAATTTGTCTGGGGCTTTTCTTTTATCACATTCATTCACAGAGGCTAGGATAGCCATGATTCACCTTTTAGTTCCAGTTTGTAAAAACATGGAGACAATTAAAAAAAAAAATCAGGCTGGCTGTGGAAATATGGCTGTTACAACTTTCTTTCTTCCTGCCTCAGGGCCTATTCCATGGGTATAAAAAAAAACCCTGTATTGTCATTTTTAGTGAGGGAAGGGCCCTTCTACTGATAGTGCTGGATGAGGTTGAATGAACCCTGTGAACAGAACAGCATAGCCCACATAGAAGAGATGGCACAGATCATCTAAGTAATGTTACGTTACCACCTACATTATTCTCTGCTGTCACCACTAGCCATGCGGTAACCGCTAGAGACACTTGGTTATTTAAATTTAAATGTAAATTAATAAAATAAATAAATTATTATGTTTTTAAAATTGTATTAGCCACATTTCAGGGGCTCAATAGCATAGCCACATGTGAATGTCGCTACTGCATCAAACAGCAAAAAGTTAGGACAGATGTTAAAATTAACACCTAGTTTGGGGTAAAGAATATCATTAGTAGAAGTTCATATAATTAAGAAACAAACCCAGGTTTCTGGGCATCTAATGAAGAGTAAGCAGATTTATTTCCACCTCTACATATTTATTTCTGTTCAGTGTGGATCTCTGAGCATGGTTCAAGCACATTGAGTGTGTGCGACTCTATGTGTGGGCTTTAAAGTGTTTTGCAGGGGTGGGATCTGGTTAGCATGGATGAGGGAGCTCCTTTACATAAATTCATGCAGTTCTTGCCTTTCCGTCCTGACAGGACCAAAAGAGAAAATACACATAAGCGTACAATGAAAAGAAAACAAAATATTATACAAATGAAAGGTGTCATAATTATGATGAGCTCCGGCTTACTTCCTGCTGCTTAGTGTTTGCCCCTGAGTTCAGCTGAAGATGGATATGGATGGGGAAGTGGGCTGGATTGGAGGAAGTTTTGGCAGATGAGGTGAAAAATAGTCTGCTGGGTGTGTGGTGTCAGGGAACTTGCTTAATGGTCTCCAAGCCTGGGAACTGGAGCCAGTTAGACTTGCTCTTACCTCAACTTTTCCTCCAAGAGAGGACCAGTAATGGAGGAATTAGGTAAAGACCTTCAGTGAGAGCTAGACCTTTCCTTAATTAGGGAGATTGTCTATAATCACTTAAAAATGTGTTAAGTTTAGAAATAATGCATGTTCTCACTTATAAGTGGGAGCTAAATGTTGAATACACATGGACATAAAGATAGGAACAATAGACACTGTACTATTTGAGGGGGGACCTGGGAGAGGGATGAGGGTCAAAAAACTACCTACCAGGTGCTATGATTACTACGTGGGTGACAAAATCATTTGTATACCAAGTCTCAGTGAGAGGTAATTTACCCATGTAACAAACCTGCATATGTACTCCCTGAACCTAAATATGAAAGTAAAATTTAAAAAAATTCAGAAAAAATTCAGATTCATTAAAGAGAAGTGGCCTAAAGTCTGACTGTCATAGGAGAGGTCATCCACTATTGATGGGGAGAATTAAAACACAGCATGGATTATACAATGAGGAGATGGAGGTAATGATGACTTTAATGCCCTGGGTTGGTGGGCATGGGAAAGATACAGGGAGGGTGTTTAGATTTTAGAGTCAACCCCTCACACTTACTCACCAGGCAGGTTTGGGATACAGGGAGCCTGGGCCAAATTTCATCTTGCGCTGCAAATCTGGGTGAGTTCTAGAGTTCTGCAGATCCTATTTCAATAGAATGTTGGAACTGCAGAGGGCCAGGGAAAGCATCAGTGTCTTCCTCTTATTCTACACATGAAGAAACTTATGAAGCAAATTAGTTGTAGGGTTGCTTTGTTTTGTTTGTTGAATAAATAAATCTAGTCCAACTCTCTCATGTTACAGATGAGGAAACTGAATCCAGAGAGGATCCCTCAAAAACTTTGAGGCTCTCTCAAGATGATTTTTTTTTCTATCCTTGGATAGATTATTCCATCATTCTGAGTCTTAGTATTCTTACTACAAAAAATGATCACAATAATCTTGGCTCTGTATATTTCATATAATTTAAAAATCAAATAAAATGAAAGCCATGAAAGGGCTTTATAAACTGTAAGGTATTATGCAGATAAAATTATTTTATTGCCTATGTCTTCATCCTCTTCTCCTATCCAATGCCTTCTCTCACCCAAAATGTTGCATGCCTTCTTATAAATATTTTCTTTGAGAGAGATATTTGGGTAACTTTGAGATAATTTGGGGTTTTGGAGGGTGTTATGCTCCCACGGCAGGGAATTATTGCCATTAACTATCTAGTTGCAAAGGATCACGTTTACATATGGAGTTATATTTACCACAATGGCAGCATCTGCCAGGTATTATTTGTGTGTATTTCCTGCTTGCTTTTGTGTGTTAGGGCTTGGTGTAAGAACAAAGCTTAGGAACAGTTGAAGCACTATTTGT